CGCCATGGGGCGCGGCCAAGGGGTCATGGGACGTGTCTGGAAAGCAGCCCATGACATTAGGCTTGGAATTAGGAAAGCACGGGAAGGTAGCCCCATGCAATTTTATATTTGTATTACGGCTTCTCTTTTTTATCCAAAAAAAAAAAGAAAAAAAATTATTTAACAAGAGATGAGAAGAAAGACAAATGAAAACTAAAGAGATTGTACGTAGAAGTTCATGCCTTCATCTTTTTTTCCTACAGTTATCCACCACTACATGACACAAAAGAGGGAATTTGATCAAAATTCTCTCTCTAGGCGTGACAAACATAAGTGGGTTGCGTTATCATGATGTATCAACCACACCATTTCCCATTCTTCCATTTCTCAACACTATAACTTTTCTACACAAGTCAAAGCTCACATCCAATCCGATGCATGCAATTGCATTACCCCATGCATCAATATTGATCACATGATTTTTTTACTTAAAAATTTCAACTAAACTCTAAGAAATAATACATTAAAAAGACAAGTAAAAATAAGGATTCCCTACTTAACTTCCACCATATACTTTGCTAAATATCTTCCACACTTAAACCACCATGACACTACCACCAACCATAGCCGTTGCCGCCACACATAGCATACCAAAGGCGGATGGAGCTTATAATTTATGGGTTCACATGAATTTAATATTTTTAGATGAACATAGATATCTATGAACAAAAATTTATTGAAATTTCAATAAATATAATATTATGAACCCATAATTTTAAAATACAACGAGTTCACTACTAAAAACTTTAAGTTCAAATCCTGAAATCTGCCTCATCATCATACAATTCACCTATTTCCTGGTGGACGTAAAAGTTTGAAACACCACAGTTCCAGCAGCAGGAAATTCATCAACCGTGCAACTCCGGCGTTTCATCCCAAGTGGCTCTACGGCTTTAACAATTCTGCTCCAAATCTCACTGCTGTTCGTACACGTGATCGACACGGACATCGTCCCCGGTCGGAAAACCTGAACCACCTTCTTCAAAACCTTAACAATATCATCACGATCATCGTAAATGGACCCCACACACTCATAACTCGCGTAACTAAAACCATCTTCTGGCGTTACATGAATTGTAGAGTAACGATCTCCGTCAATACCATTCATGGAATATCCACAAGGATCAAATGCAAAGTCACAAATCAATGCATTTGAGTTAATATCTCCGATTCCGGTTATCTCCGTCATCTGTTTTCCGGTAGTATCCGGATGTTTAAAGAATTTCCGGGCAAGTACCCGGTCAAGATCCGTCATACAAATTTCCACTGTGTACAAATCGTTCGAAATAGGAAGTGAGTAAAACTTGTCACAACTAGCTGAAAATACATGCCAAGAATGTGAAGTGAATTTTGAAGGCATAACAGAGGCTTTTCTGTAGCAAAGATGATTAGGTAATTGGTCTTGTAAGTAAATAATTTCTTCTTTGAAATTTGTATGAGGGTAAGGTTGTGCTTTTGGGAAAATGTAATTTCCTCTAGTGTACCTACACTCAGTTATAATAAGTCCAATTTCGCATGCATAGTGGATAAATGGACGGATAGATTTTAACAACTCGGTGGTCCCACATGTTTTGATGATTATTTTTGTGGGGTATACGAAAAGGCTTGATTCTGATAGTACGTAGGAATCAAAATATTGGTTACCAGCAGCTGATACTACGGTGCACTGCACAGCATGTAATACTTCCTCTATTGAATCAAAGTCAACGTGCCGGAGACCACCCATTCCGATCACCGGGTCATCGCCGGAGAAGTGTAGCTCCAGCCTCTTCTCAAATCCTTCAAAACCAGAAGCAGCCATTTGATGAAACTATATATGATAACAGATAATTATAAATCACTTAAACTTGAATATTTCTGAAAATATGGACAAGGTTAATTATAAAGTGTGATATTTTTTTCTTGAGTGGGAGAGTGTTGGTGCCTAAACCGAAACAGGGAAGTGAGTATATATAGTGGAAGAAAATGAGAGAGGAGTGGGGTGGGGAGGAAGGGGGGGGTGATGAGATGGAGATGGGGGCATGCGGATAAGGCAACCAAGAATAATGAGCGTAAGCAAAATGAATACAAGATGATGGTTATTTTTTGCATGAGACATTTTTTTTGGACAACAATATGAATCCCAGGTCCATAGCCACGCGCATTTTGTTTTTGTTTTTTAGTCCTATGGTCTACTTCTATTTGAGTAAGTCTAAGGACGGACAGTCAATTGGTACATTTTATTGTAAAATATATATTATTTTTTTTGGTGAAATAAAAATTTTATTTAATCACCAGCACAAATCTTTACAAGTAAATCCCTCCTATTTTCCACTCCCCTCCTCCTATTTTCCACTCCCCTTACTGATCATACTCCAGCTTTCACTATCTTTTTCCATTCAAGAACTATTACAATTGAGCTATTCTATTTACAGTAACTGTTCTATGCACAATTTTTGCCTTACCGTTATTGCTCTTCGACCTAGGATGTCGTGAATCTTTTCTCTGCATTCCTCCTTTATAGAGTTAACTACCATGTGAGGTCTAGGGACTTTTTGATTCCACATAGCATCATTCCTCACTCCCCATATACGATACACCAGTGCCACCAAGATTGCAACAGTAAATCTTCTGCTTGCTTTTCCACTGACTCTTCTAGTCATTCTTCTCCATATTCCATTGAATTCCCACTGCTGCACTCCCATTTTCAGCCATACCAATACTTCTTTAATGCATGCTTTAGAAAATGAACATTCAAAATATAGGTGATCTATTGTTTTCACTCCCCCCCCCCCCCCCCCCCCCCCCCCCACATATGACACAGTTAGTTTCTTGGCAAATTCTCAACCTAGCCAGCCTCTCCTTTGTTAAGAGTGTTCTATGCATAGCTAACCAACTAATGAAGCTATGCTTTAGGGTGTTGAATTTGCTCCAAACCCATCTACTACTCTCCCATTTTTCTCCATTTATAGCCACTGATGATTGTGTACTATCTGCTAAATAACCACTCTGGACATATCCCTCTGCAAATATGTCTTGCATGGAGCCTATTTTCCTCAAGTACCAACAACATTCTTGAGGAGGCTGATACTCCCACCAAGAGGCACCTTTTAAGCAAATATGGTTCGCCCATTTTACCCATAAATTGTCTGCTTTTTAACTATATTCCATACATATTTTGCAATCGCTGCTTGATTCCATAGATCACAGTCAATGATCCCTAAACCCCCTTCTTTTTTAGGTCTGCATACTAGCTACCAAAGGTAGCTTGCTTGAGTTAGCTTTTCTATCCCACAAGAAGTTCTGGCATATTGCTGTTATACTCTTCAATATCTTCTTAGGCAGAATGAATATGGATGACCAATAGGAGTGAATGTGTATTAACACTGAGTTTACTAGTAGTACTCTCCCAGCGTATGATAGGTTTCTTGTTCCCCAGCTTTATATTCTAGAACACATCTTATCGACTAACATTTCACAATCCACTATTGAAATTTTCTTTGCTGAAATTTTGTAGCCAGTCAAGTCACATATAGTTCTTCCACACTTTGTTTATCCATATTAGCACTATAGATGTTGAAGTTATTTGCATTGGTATTCAGCCCTGATGCATTTGAGAAACTAGCCAGCCCCCTTAACATCATTATTACAGATTGCACTTCTCCTTGACAGAACAGAAGGACATCATCTGCAAAGCACAGATGATTCAATTGTAACCCTTTACATTTTGTGTGGAAGGCAAACCCCTGGAGTGTGGTAACATGCTTCATGATCCTTGTGAAGTATTCCATACAGATGACAAAGATTAGTGGAGAATAAGGTCCCCTTGTCTTAGCCTCCTCTTTCCCTCAATGTTTCCATACATCCCCCCATTGATTTCTATATAGTATCTAGTTGTTGTAACACATGTCATTATCCATTTGATGTACTTGCCAGGGAAATTTAGAGCATGCATCATTTCCTGCACAAAATCTCATTATACAGTATCATATTCCTTCCTCAGATCAATTTTGATAAGGCAGCTTTTAGTAGTAGCTTTCCTGTTGTATAATCTCACCAAATCTTGGCATATAATCACATTTTGCACAATATATCTCCCAGCCACAAAAGCACTTTGATTGGCTGAAATTATGTCTGGTAATACTGTCTTTAACCTCATACAAAGCATCTTAGAGATCACTTTGTGTAAGGTATTACAACAAGCAATAGGTCTATAATCCCCCACCTGCTCCGCATGACTAATTTTTGGAACTAGAGTAATTGTTGTGGCATTAAGGCATTTTGGCATTCTTTATGTCTGAAAGAACTCCAACACCCTAGAAACCACATCCATATTTACAATTTTCCAGCAGTCTTTAAAAAATTGACTATCATAGTTGTCAGGCTCTGGGGCTTTATCTCCTGGAATTGCCCAAACTACTGCTTTCACATCCTTTTCCTGAAACCCTTGTTCTAGCGCTCCCGATTGATTGTTGGCCCTTCTCTAACCAGTTCACTACACACATGTTTCCTCTTTCCTACTCTTTCCCCAAGTAGGTTTTTATAGAATTCTATAAATGTTGTTACTATCTCCTCTGGATCTTCTTTTGTTTCCCATGTGAATCAATAACTGAAAATATCTCGTTCTAATTCCTTCTCTCCCTTATTGCACTATGAAAGAATTTTGTATTTTGATCACCTTGAGTTAACCATTGAACTCTGCTTTTCTGCCTTAGGAATTGGTTCCTAGCTTCTCCACATATTCTGTAGTCCTTGGCTAGCTGTTTTTCTTTCTCAATTTGAGCTTTGTTTCTAAGGTCTCCTTGTAACATTAGTTTGCATTGTTTTAATTCCTCCATTGCTTGATCAGCCTTCCTTTCAATGTCTGAAAATCTTTCCTTGTTCAGTTTAAGTAATACTGCCTTAAGTTTGTTCATTTTTCCCTACCACTTGAAATAACATGTCCCTAGCTATCTCATCTTCCCAGCTCTTCTTTACTTTTTCCTTAAAGTCAGGTGCCAATGTCCACATATTGTAGTATTTAAACTGTCTTATGCTTTTGTATTTGCCATTTTTCCAGTTTATTATGGCTGGGCAATGATCATACAACCCCTCATTCATGTAGTGCACCTCTGAACTTGATAGTGTAGTTATCCATTCTGTGTTCACTACCACTTTATCTATTATGCTATATACCCTTTCCTCCCCTTCTTGTTTGTTGTTCCATGTAAAATATGCCCTTGAGGATCTCAATTCCTTCAGTACACATTAAGCAACACATTCTCTCTAGTCTTTGATTTCAAACAATGTTACAAGTCTCCTAATTCTATCCTCTTTATGAAGGACACAGTTAAAATCTCCCATAATTGCCCAAGGTCCAACTACATACCCATTTATTTTCCTCACCTCCTGCCATAATGCTCTTCTGATAGCTGGATCATTGAATCCATATACAAACGTAATATTGTATTTCATTTCAGTCCCCTTATGAATTACAGCATAGTGAATTATTTGTGCAGACACATACTCTATCTGAACCTCCATGATTGTTGGCTTCCAAACCACCCATATTCTGCCCTCTGGATGAGCTCCCAAGTTATGTGTAAATGTCCACCCTCTACATAGATTAAGAGAAGCTCTGTGAGCACTACTTCTCTTAATCTTAGTTTCTAGGAGACCAAACAGACTAACCTTACACTGGTACAGAAACAGATTCACATTTCTCTGTTTCGTCAACCTATTAAGTCCTCTGGTGTTCCAGAACCCTATGCTATCCATTAGCTGGGAGGAGTTCCCACCCTTCCCCTGTTTAGGGTCACCCTTCACATTTTGTTGCTTCTGATTTGTAGTATTTTTCCCCTGCTCTATCATCTTCATGTTACTAGCCTCCCCCAATGCCCCAAATGAATTCACTAAATTTAGTGTAGAACTACGACCTCCCTTGACTCTTTGTGGACTATTTATTCTCACACTATTCCCCTTCTGTACAGATGCACCAGGAGCCAATCCCTGTTGTCCTGTATTTTCATTTACCCTGCCTCCTTTATTATTTTGTCCCATTATTTATTGTTTCCCTTCGTTCACATTAGCTGCCTTGCTTTGGTTTGGCTCCTTCCATTAATGTTTTCCTTTTGCTTTTCTGCTTGGATGTATCTCCTGCATTCCTGCTTTTCATGTCCATAATTGTTACATTCCTAGCATAGTTGTAGGTTTCCATTGATAGTACACTTTTTGCTTTATGATTTTGCCAACTTCATTCTCAAACATTACATTCTGTGGGTAAGGCCAGTCTAGTGCAACCTCCATGTTGTAGCAAATGTCATCCTCTCCTTCCATGTTGTAACTCTATCAGCCTTTAAAGGATTACCAACTAGCCCTGCTATTTTTGTAAGTGCATTCTTACCCCAATACTTAATGTCAAGTCCGGGTAGTCTAATCCATATCGGCACTTTATTGAAAGTTTCCTTCCTTGTATCTATATCAGGAGACCAAGGCTTTACAATAACTAGCTTTTATCAAACATATGGACTCCATCTTCCACCGCCTTCACCCTACTTTCTGTTTGTGTAAATCGTACCAGAAATATACCTCTGTTGACCTACGCTACTTTGTCAATTCCCATTTTCCCCCAAATTCTGCGAAAATATCCATTCATAACTGCCGGTGTGGGATTAGACCCCAATACATAGCAAATGACAGCATTGTTCCAATATTCCACTTCCTCCTTGATATCCTCCAACATAATTTTGACATTTTACTTCATTGTTTCCTGTTATTTCAAATCCAGACCTTCCATTACAGGGCTATTGGTCATAATTTGACTCCATAACTTCATTTTAGATTCTAGGTATTGTTCTACCCCAGAATTTCCTCACATTCTAACTCATTCACCTCCATGTCAGTCCATGATTGTTTTCCTGACGAATTGTGTTCCTTATCATTCCCTA